AATTCCAGGCACACTGGTTAGAGATGATAGGCAGGAGAGACTTAAAGCCTCTTCTGCCTTTTTTTTTTTTTTTTTAAAAAGTAAAAGTTTGCCAAGAAAATATATCTTGTTTATAAGCGTCTTGTCATTGGGTGTTGGCCACAAGAGTCTACTTTAAAATAAGTTAATTTGAGCTATGCAGGAAACATTTGCCTGGCAGATTCATGTGCAATAAAGTATTGGCTAGGGACTCAGGCCATCTATAAATGGAAGCTCCAAATATTTTTTACAGAGCAACAAGTTACAACACAACTTTTTCCTCTTCTAGTTGCTTACCCTACTCTAGAACTTCAGGGTTTGGGTTCAAATAGCACAATAAGCAAGGGGTTTATTTCTCTTATCACTACATGTCATGACATTTTTAAATCAGCATTGAAGATATTCAAGTTTGATGAAACTAGTAGCTAGCAGAAAGTCACCACAAGAAGTCACCATAGCATTTGCAAACTGCTTGAAGCAGGAGAGGTTCATGTTACAGATTTACTGTTCTTGGACAAGTTCAAACTTCAAGTGACAAAATGGCCTGCACCTAAGGCTGCCAATAAATATTCAGTTAAAGGCATGATGGGATCTGATCTGCAATTCCAATACTACTTCCTGCCATGCCACCAGTGCAGGGGGAACTTGGGATCAATCCCAACAAGTGCTCAACAGTTGTCAGCAGCAGCAGGATGACATCAGGGCTCAAGTGGGCTTTAGTGTAATCCCTGCTGGCCACTGAAATAGCTCAACAGCTATCAGGGAGCACACTAGGGTCTGGGTGTACTCCCAATGCTGCTACTGATCAGCAGTCAGCCAGGACATGCTAGGGCCCATTTGAAAAAATGTGGCTGGGTAGACTGCACTTAGGCTCATTTTAAGGCTAGATGGAAACAAATTTATTGCATTTATGTAATAAATTGAGGCTGATTTTGCTTCCTATCAATCAATTGCATGAATGTGTGGCCAGGTTGCACCTTAAAACAATTAAGCAGTTAACTGTAATCTTAAGCATAAAATCTGCTAGGGGTTTATATACTTTTAAAGTACATGAATGTAGTTGAATAGCCTGGATTGGTGTTACTGTAGTTCCTTGAACTTGGATGAAATATGGCATATTGTCTAACAGCCAGTTAGACAATAAGAGGGAGAAAGAAAGGAACTTGTCCTTGCAAGCCTCAGTCAAAAAGAGGTGTGGGGGAAGAAGAGCGGCGACAACAGCCTAGTTGGGAATAAGGTCCAACCTACTCTAGAGGTGCTAACATCTCCTTATTTGGAGAAGACTCCTATCCCCAAAAGCCCAATCACCTGCAAGTAGATAACTTCAGTAACCATCTCCAAGAGTCTCCCACATGCATGAACAAAGCCAAAAATTGAGAGAAGGCTCAGCATCTTCCTCAAGCAGTAAGTAACTTAGATTGGAGTACACGTTCAGCACACTTACATCCTCTAGAAGAGAAGCAACATTTAAGAGTGTTTAACTCCCAAAAAACAGTTGACCCAGATCCTATTGGGTCACTTCCTTCTTACCTCATCCTTCCCCTCCAAGGAGAGTGGAGATCCCGTCATCTATTGACTCATTGCCAAGGCATCTATTGGCAGTAACTACTAGTTGAGAAGTCTATCCTAAGCCTCCTTTTTAAAAAAAGGTGGTCTCCTTCACATTTGCTATTTCAGCAAAGCACTTTAGAAATCCTATAACAGGATCCCATTTATCAAGATGATACAAGCATCTCCTGCTGTCCTGCTCAGCTCTATTACTTGTTCTTGATATTGCACCTTCAACCTGAACAACATGCTTGTTTGAAAAATGCTGCTATAAATCATACAAAAAGTTAGGGTTAGAAGGGACCTCAGGATGTCATCTAGTCCAACCCACTGCTCAAAGCAGGACCATCTTATTAGATCATCCCAGCTAAGGCTTAGTCTAGCTGGCTCTTAAACTTCTAAAGCTAGAGATTGCACCACCTCTGAGTAACCTGTTCCAGTGCTTTACCATCATCCTCATGGGAAAGTTTCTCTTAATATGCAACTTAAACATCCCTTGCTGCAACTTGAGACTGTTGCCTCTTGTTTTATTGTCTGCCACCAACTACTTGGTCCAGTAGAGCAGACATTGCTTAGCGTACCCCGATTATGTTAACTAGGCTAGCTACACAAACTAGCAATTAGAGTAGCTTCTCATTACATAGTTAATATTAACTGTAAATAGTTAGTACAGTTAAATCATGAGGGCTTGACAACCAGCAGGTTGACTAGCTATTCAACCCATTACAATACTTTGCCTCCAGAGAGGGAAAGAGAGAAAGATAAAATCTAGCCTTTAGGTACTGAATTTAACCCCTATTATCAGTTGGGGTTGGAACCCATTTCAGAGCCTAACACTATAGCTGCAGTGATGTCTGGCAACACCATTTAGAAACCAAAGTCCCTTTAACAAAAGACAAACAGATACTAAAAACACCTAGCTCTGCCTGTACATATACCTCCAGCCCTCAAAAGTCTATTTCTGGGCATTCTTCAAAAAAAGAGCATTAGCTTCTAATAGCTCAATGCCCCCACCCCCAAAGCAATCTGGTAGTTAGGAAACTCTTCTGGTAGGCACATGCAGTTTTGGAGCTTCTCAGGCCAAAAAGACTGTGAATCTAGATCTGCCATTTCTTGGGTGAAAATTCTTACTTCTGGGCTATTGGAGAGAGTGAACGGCAGCCATTGCTACCACCTCTCTCTAGTCCCTCCAAGACAAAGAGCACTTAAATCTTCTCCTTGGAGTCAGGGCTGTAGTGAAGGCTGAGTTGTGAAGTAGAAGAAATGCTTTCCCCATGAACTTAGGTTGGCAACACACTTAAATCTTTACAAGAAAGATTTGGATCCCACCCCTCTTTATCCGAGGGGGGGGGGGGGAAAAAAAAAAAAAAAAAAAAAAAAAGAATAATCAAGATTCTGGCTTCAGAGGAAGCCATTTTTGGACACCCTACTCCTCACTGTGCAGGGACCAGAGATACCCAATTCAGGGCTTATTCTACCAGGGTGCAGAACTCTACCTTTTGCAGCACTTTGTGATTTGTGGATCTACCCCAACATTTTATCTGGCAACACCAAACAAGAGGAAGCTGTACAGCTCTGGTATTCCCCCCAAGTAATTGAAGCAACTTTGAAACCCATTCACTAACTGAAGTGAGAGGTGCTCACCTGGCAGTATACCATGTACAAGTATACTTATTAGAATGAAATTTCAAAATAGAAAGTTGTGAAAGACAGCAACCAAGTGCCTCAAAAGTTGCACTAGTTTTGCTACTTTTTGGCATTCAATTCCATAGCCAAAGCAATGAAGGCTTCTCACTGGTGCCAACAGGGTCAGAAAACAGTTTTATTTTAGTTGCAATAAAAAGCATGAATACCAAATAAAGCCTTTGTTAGTCAAGAAATGGTTGTAGAAGTAATCTTTCAGTTACAAGTCAGTGGGGGCTTGACAATCCAGAAGAACTTCCAAGTATCAGAAGATGTACAAGCTTGCCATACTTGACAAAGATTAGGTGAATGTGTTTCAAATCAGAAGGATCAAGACAGAAAGATGTAGGTTCCAATCAGTGTAGCCTCCAGCAGCCAGTTTCTCCCAGACTGGCATTTGGGGCACTTTCATCATTAAAACCTCCAAAACACCTGCCAGGGTCTCAATTAACTGGTGGCAATATCTGAGAGAGCACAGGAAATGTTCGTAAGTGATTACTAATAGTTTCACTTAATTTACAATTTCTAGGTTACCAACAAAAAGAGGAGGCGCACAACCTGAATTAAACACTTGCGTCTCTCAGGCAGCTTCACTGCCTCTGGAATTGCACTAGGTGGAAAACCAGTACATCATTAGTTTCACTTCTCCTAATCAGAAGCCTTTGGGGTAGCAGCAAAGCCACAAAAAACAGCTTCAATTTCATATGGCTTCTTGTTATGGCTCCAAACAAGAACTCAGCATTTTTTTCCCCCACAGGAGTGCTCCCCTGCAGAGCCCAAGAGCCTGCAGAGGATGTTGCAATAGCACAGGCCCTCCCCTACCTCTAGGAGAGAGGTGTGTGTGGGGGTGGGAACACTGGGAAGACTCCCATAAGCCAGGCACCAACAGCTGAGCAGTGGGTCATCATGACCCAGAAGTGGGTAACAAGACTATATGAAAGGGTCACAAACAAGCTTTAAAAATGGATTCTCCTTTTAAAGAAGAAAAAAGGTGGGAAACCATGGGTTTTCCCTTGCAGGCTGGCAGAGTCCCAGCCTATGAAGGGCTGCTTGGGGCCCCCCAGCCCCACACACTGGGGGCAGCAGGTCAGGAGTGAGGGGCACTGGGTTGTACTGGCTGTTGGTATTTACAAATGGGTGCTGGTACAAGAAAAAAAAAACAAACAAACAAACAAAAAGGTTGAGAACCCCTGGGCAAAGCCAGCCCTGCCAGAAGCAGGGGGCCATACAAGCCCTTCAAAACACAACAGGGAGCTCCCAAGTAGAAAGCCTCATCTGCCTGCCCCCACCCCAACTCTGGACAGATAGGGTGGGGGAGGTAGAGGCCTCATTACAAGTGCAACAACTGGGGTTGAGTGGGTCCCTCCAGCATGGCGCAGGAGCAGAGAACAGAGGGTGAGAAGGGGCAGATAAGCAGGCACATGACCAGGGGCTTGTCCCAGCTCCACTCCCTCCTCCAGTCTAGGAGAGTCTCCCAATGGGCTCAGGCCCCTGCAGATGGGGACGTGGTTATATCAACCCCTCAGGACCCACCTGCCTCCAGCAGGGTGGACACACAGTGCCCAACTCCCCTCAGGGGTCCTGAGCAGCAGCTCCCTGGGCAGGAGAACAACAGCTGCAAGGGGCTCCCAGCGTGGGGAAGAAGCCCCCTTCTCCCCAGCCCAGAGCAGGGCTGCAGGCCCCCGGGGAGGAGCAGCAGGCAGGGGAGACCCCCCCGGGGGTCCCGCCCGCAGGCCTAGGCCTCTCCTGACCTTGACCCTGATCTCGTAGGTGGTGAAGCGGGCGCGGCCCACGCCCGTGGTCTGCGGGTTGCCCACGTCGATCTCGAGGAAGTTGCTGGGCGGCCCGTAGGCGTCGTTCAGGTTCTGGGGCTTGCTGAGGAGGCGCCGGGTGTCCGCCACGGTCTCAGCCATGTCCGCGCCCGCCCGCGCCGGCCCTGCCC